ATTATGGCTTTTTTTGTTTCCTTTGTGGAAGATTTTGATTTAGTGAGTTAATAATCTGTTAAATTATGTGACCCCATCTTTATATTTTCTTTTTCCTATGTATGAAAGTTGCTAATATGTAAGGAATGTTTATTCTCTGAATGTGTAATATATGGTGCATTTTGTTTGTATGTTAATATTACTAATTAAAAAAAAAAATTCTCAGCACTTCTAAACTCCTTAGACGTCCAGATGAGTCAAATCCAAACCCTTTTCTCCGATGACACAGTTTTCCAAACAAAATGAGTGAAATGTATCAGTTCAAATGTTCGTGGCTCATGTTGGTATTTATTTAGCAGGTCTTTATCATTAGTGAAGTATCTGTCGTACTTGGGAATATTAAACGTGTAAGTATGACCTGATATTTACAGTATGCTACTGAACTGCACAGTAGAAGCTTTCTCCATTTAACCATACTTCTCAAACACTGATTTAAGATCATCGACTGCCTGTTTCAAAGATTTTCAGACACACCTGATTTGCATAAAGTAGCCTCGACCCAAACTTTATGCAAATAAAGAGTGGGCAACTCAACACCCCCTCTCTGGAAATGTGGCGATACGAGACTGCGCGTCTGCTACACAGACAATGAGAAATGCAAATGACTCTCCTTTAAAACAGAAATATGACACTGAAATTCATCTGCTCAAACAGCTACAGCCCCTTTAAATGAACGGTTAATTTGCATTTTTTAAGTGTAATAACTACATTAGGGTTTAAGTGCAGGCAAACCTGAGTGTTTCACCTTGAAACAGAATGTCCTTATATTTAAAACATCTCTTGATGAACGGATATTATATTTTATACATTTTGAATTAGGGAAAGTAAATGGAGCCCATAAATCATCAATCAGCCCACGCACACGTGACACATATATACACAGGTGTGTATTCAGCATGTTTTTGCAGGTAACACAAACAGGGGAGTGAAATGCGATTGTGATGTCAGTTATTGCCTCCTGGTGATATCAGGATTCGATTTTTCCATGAAGGCTGCTTCTGCAGGTGTGTGAGGGGCTGAGAGGTGAAGAAAGCATGAAGGGAGGATTATTCTGGAGGGAAAGATCAGCCGGATTTGTGAACTCGACACTCGACACAGAGCTGAACAGCAGAAAACAGACGCACAAAGAGACAAACATGTAGTCTCACACGCTGACACTGAAGACACACATGCTTAGAGGGGCTGTCAATTGAAGCCGATATGCCTGAAAGCCAAACAAAAGGAAGACAGCTCAGAGACACTGACGTGCAGGTGTGATTTGAACGTGTAACAGAAACAAGTATCTGTCACTACAAATCATCACTGTCAGCAAATGTAGACATGTCTGACCCACAAAGCACGTTTTACACAGCATGCGCGATGTGCAAGGGCAGGCAGGAGGGTGGAAACAGACAGGAGCACTAACCTTTCTTGTTTGCTGCATCCACAGAAAGTAGGCAGACAGTTAACAAGGAGGAAGAAACAGAGAGGATTCATTTACAAGT